CCTTTCGGGTGCCATGTAGAACCCTTTTTTAAAATGGTTTTGTATGGAACCATGGACACTCAAAGAACCCTTTGCATGACTAAAGGGTTCTCTGCATCAGGAAAGTGTTCCTCAGAATATGCTATAAATGATTCTATATAGAACCTACATGCTTGATTTTGTAACAATAGAAGCCTTTTTGAAAATGGTTCTATATAGCACCCAAAAGGGTTCTTCTATTGTTACATGCTTGACAACATACCAACAGGAGAACCCTTTTGGGTGCCTTTTCAAAATGGTTCTATGAACAACCATGAAGGGTTCTTTGCGTCAGGAAAAAGTTCTTCAGAATGTGCTGTAGATAGTTCTGTATAGAACCTCTTTGAAAAGGGTTCTATATGGCACCCAAAAGGATTCTTCTATGGTTATGATGTCAAGCATGTAACAATAGAAGAACCCTTTGGGTGCTACATAGAACCATATACAACACATTCACCATCAATCTGAACATTTAATGATGCAAAAGAAACCTTTAAACATGCAAAGGGTTCTTTGAGCGTTCATGGTTCTTTACTAAAGAACCCTTGAAGACCCATCTTTTTTTAAGAGTGTATGGTTACAAATCTGTTTCTTTTATTTCGGAAAATATCATTTATTTTCTGAAATATTGTTGCTGTTGTTACACAACCTCATATCTGAAAACCTTAAATAACTGTATGGACATATGCAACATTAATGCAAAAACATTTTATTCAAAGTAATTTTGATCCATTTTTATTGGTCCGTTCATTGATGCTTTCAGCAGCGATTTGGCGGAGCTTCAGTTCCCCTCGAGAGCCTCCACTGTAACAATCCACGAGCTGTATGAACAAGAGCGAGATGCTAAATACACACTCATTGGTTGGAACGTGCAGCTGCTGCTGCTCTCACTGGACGTCAGTGATGAAAACTGGTATTGAAATCATATGATTTTCATGTCACATTCATGCAATTAAACAATGAAAATAGTTCTGGAATAACAAAGTAAGAAATACATTCTTATGAAGCTTATTTTGTCCACTCATGTAGCTATAAGACAATGCCATGCTTTTCAAATCTGAGCAAATAAGATAAAAACAGTTCGATTCATTCTTTTAGTCATTTGACTTAGCATGCATATACTTGTATCGTGGTCAGTGATATGATGTGCATTGCTGTGTCCATTATTTTCCTATTAAATAATCTAATAAATATGTATCATATCTCACATTATTCTGCAGTACCTCCTTTATCTGAATACATTTTCAGTCCATCAAAATAAATGACATTTTAGGCATTTATACCTCTCAAATTGTAAAACTGTCAGGTGGTGAGACCGTCTAACCATATATGCAGATTCTAAATTCTAAATGAAATAATTTCAAATCATTTTATATTTAAAATTATTTCAAATCATACCATGTTGCCAAATAAGGCAACTTTAAAAGTCTTCATTTCAGGGAAAAACAGTCCATAGATTCTGATTTTCTCATGTCACAGCACGACTGACAAAAAAGGCCTTTATTCTGACATGCTTTTAAGAACGAGTGGGCGGGTACATCAACCCGAAGAAGACCTCCAAATGATTTTTATGGTGTATTAAAAGTGGGCAGGCAGCGTTCTGTTTTTTTTAATGCACCAAAGATCTAGAACACGTTTCCAATAAACAGGAGGTTCCCTCTGTCACTGTTTTTAAAAACCAACAAAAAACTCATTTCTTTATGTTTTCTCGTTTGTTTTTACTGGAATATTTTTTTTATATAAAACAATATATAAAACTTCACCAATCAACAAAACATTTTTTGCATTCTATATGCATTATTTTTCCCACTTTTGCAGCATGAAATACAGATTCCATAACAGTAAAAATACTGCTAGAAGTAAAACTTGGTTCTGATACGGATGGATTCTTAAAACTAGACATCTGGATCGGATGTATTGACACTACTACTCATCCTCGCTCCCTGCCACTTTGCTGCTGCTCTTATTTCTGTCTGAGATGCTTCTCTTCTCCTGCCGGCCCCTCCCTCGCACTTATTTGTGCAGCCCCCGAGAAGCTCTCCGACACACTTCACCACTTTGGCGAATTCTAAGAGCCTCCGAGCCCAGACGGTCCCCAAGGACGTCCACCACTCTCCTTACTTTTGTGGGTTACTATGCTCAGATATCTGACACTACGGCCCAAAAGGCGACAAAGCAGTTGCTTTGGAATGGAGAACTGTGGGCTTCTGAGAGCTCTCAGCTCAGAAACTGTACTGCCACACAATACAGTATATATGAGATTTAGTTTGAGTTAGAATGGACACAGTGCACCAGAAAAAACAGCAGTGCCACATTTACAGCTGAGAAAAACCACACTTAGTACAATGTCTTTTTTGTTTTTAATGAAACGTTTGCAAAAATAATTTAGGAAGAAACATGGGAGTGATTGGTAACAGTTGGTGAAACAACATAACAACAAACAGCTGGTAAAAATAAATTAAGATGATGTAAAATGGGCTGATATCCAATCAGCTACTTGTTACTATGCTGTTACTATACACTGGTGGTTGTTGTTGGTTTCAGGTTCTCTATAACTGATCTAAATCTATCTATTATTCGTTTTTCTAACCGGTAAGTGTTGCTGATACCCATGACATAAGAGTATTGCAACATAATTCATCATGATAATGTATGACCACAATGATCACCCCTACTTCAAACCATTACATTGTCCACTGTCCTGAATCTTCACTGTGTATGCAAGTACACAAATAAACATAAACAGAAAGAATATCCCACCTTTAAGAGATGAAAGAGCAGAATCACATGTGGCTGTACATCAATTAGGCCTGTCACAATTATCACACAGTCTAATTAGCAATTATTTTCCACGGTTATTTACTTCATGTTTGCCATATAAACAGAACAGTGTTTATTTCTCCTAAACAAAACCATTCGTGCAGGTTAACAGTGGTCACTTTTAAAGAATCTGAAATACTTTTATAGTGCAAAATAGTAAAAACAAAACTCAACAATATATAGATCAACCCAAGTCAGCGTATCTTTCAAAATTCTGGCAAAAACCAGGACCAAGAATTCACATCTTCATTTCTACAAGACTGAACTTCAGCAGCTTTTTGCACCTTTATTTGCAATTCAAATTTCCAGTTCCACCTTAAATGAAGCAGTGTACATTCTGACCCCTGTACATGTGCCTGAATGCAGCTGCTGCACCATTTAACATGGAACTGGAAATTCAAACAAGAAGCCAACTTCAGCTTCGAGAATTTGTCTTGTGATTGACTGTCAGACACTACAGGAATTTGGAAAATATTAGTTATTCATGCCTCAGCACCAGCTGGTCGGCATGTTTCGCACACAAGGCAACATCAACACAGCCTTGTCTGATGCAGCCGTCCAAGTTTTCCGGCTTCTCAGGTGGTATGAGAGAACACATGGCATTCGCTCTAGTGTCTAACCCCAAAAGGCCGTCCATTCCTTTATGTCTGCTGCCTCAAAAACAAGAACTACTTCAACGGACTAGACAGCGGGAGGTGATTAAGGGTCTATTGTGCATTCATTTTCAGTTGAAACGTGACTAAAACATCCCCAACTCAGCAATTCAGCTTTAAGCTATTAAGCTATTGAGCTATTAAGTATTGACAGCTACAAAGCAGATAGCTAATCGGCCAGTTTGGTCACTTTTGGCTTGGACGTTAATATTTGCATTAGGGCTGAGCAATATGACAATATACATATTGTTATCGTGATAAATTATGTCACATTAAAATACAATATGCTTTTCTGAACATATCATGGTTACTGTCAGTACCTTTAGAACATCGACCAACTGCATGTTTTATTATAAAGAGAGCAAAATTAGTCCAGTTTAACTGGATTTAGTGCAACACAGTGTGACAAATATTGCATTTTTGATAGTATTTTTTTTTAAATGTTGCATTACTGGTTCTTTCTTCTCTGTTCCAGCTGATCAGATTTCTGAAAAAAATAAATATCGTGACATGAAAAATTCTTTAAATATCGCAGTATTATATTTTTGCCATATCGCTCACCACCTATATGCATGCAATGTAAAAAGAGATAGTTAAATAGTTAATCGCAATTATTTAAAGGAAAATTTACCGTCAGCTGTAACGTCATGATCGTGACAGGCCTAATGTCAATATGACACGGTACACTATTACAGGAATGCAGCTTTTCCTGAAAGGGATTAACCCTTCAGGTGATGTGTTTAACTCTACATGGTTAATTATACTTTCAGCAGAATTCCCCAAAACTTGTACAGAAAACATCACTTTGTGTGAAAATATTAATACAGTTGATCAATAGAGTTAATAGAGGTTTTTAACCCACAAAGGCACTTTATCAACAAGAAAACCATAACATGAAGTCACTTTACATTAATGGAAATAAGATCCCTAAACCACGAATACAAGACATGTTTGTACAGAAACCTTTCAGACAATGCTTCGTGTGTTACTGATGAGTCAGATCAGAAGGAGAGAAGTTAGATGTCAGGTATTTCAGGTAGTTACACTTCAAACAGACCATCTGTGCGCATTTCTGCACCTAAAATAACTCCAGATTAAGGCTGAAAAGACTGACATCCTCTGGATACAATTCATAGCTTTCCTATTCAAAGCAAAGCAGTTAAAGAAAAACTAATGGAAATTAGTGAGGAATTACTGATCTGCTTAAATTAACCTCCCTCTTGTCACATTACAATGATAATCAACACTGTACTCAGTACACGAAAAGCGTACGATCTGGGTTAAAGGGGAATTCCACTGATGTAAACAGAGTTACTCAGAGTGGTTCGGTGTGAAATGCTTTATCGAGTCAGAATTGTTCACAGTGGCGGTGATAGGAACCAGACGTCCACCTCTAAAAGCTCCCTCACAGAAAGATACTATATGAAATGGTCACAAATACGCTGCCTGTTGCTTTAGACGTTGTTTTACGATAATTTTGGGATAATGTTTTGGTTTAAAACGGAATTCTTTAATACATTCATGGCTGAAAGGTACAGGCATGGCACAGTGCGGCATTTACCATTCCATTTACCATCATTTTTACCACCATTAACTTTACGTATAAGAACATTTAGGCTCACTGGTTGTTTTGGGTATTAAATTTAACGGCTATATTTGCGTTGTAGACATTATAATTCTTGGCTTGAGTCAGTAAGTTTTCTCTAAATGAATCATTTCACATCAAATCACTCTGAATGACTGTTTGCATCTCAGTTACTGAATTATGCAGAAAAATCAGTGGAATACCTCTGTAATATCTTGGCATATATTAAAAGGTAAATGAGACACTGTACATAGGTTATGCTTTCCAGTCTTTTTTGGTCAAGCAAGCTGCAGCGGCAGCAGTCTTTCGACATGAAAGTACAGTGCAAACGCACAGTCAACATGTCGGACGCACTGAACACCTTCAGAAAGAGTACCAGACTCAACACCAAAGCAAACCATGGTCTTGGGCGGCGACAGGAGTTTTAAACCCTGGGTATCGTCATTAAAGACTTTTTCAGGTCTTTGGCCTCTGATGACGTGCGAACACGCAAGTACCCAAGCAGGGACATGGCTTGACCACAGTATTCCTCCACCTGTCGGATCTGCTGGTAGGAAAGCACGGTCCTCCACCCGTAAGCAGCCTTGGTGGCGTTCCTGGACGAAACCATGAAGGGATCGTAGGAGGAGCTGTTGCCACTGGTCATGTTCATGGCAAAGGACTCCATGTCACGAGTGGCCGTCAGGTTAATGAAGCTGTAAACGTTCCGCAAGGTCTTGATCGGCTTTTCCACCAAGTCCTCGTACCGCACCGTCATGTACTTCCCCTTGAGCCAGCTCGGGGGATTGAGGGCAGTTTTCAAAGTTTGGGACATGTACTCACAAATCACCTCCAAGGCGCTGACGGCTTGGTAGTCCGAACCTTCTTTTTTGTTCGTTTTTTGGTCCACGTGCGGCACATGGCGAGTCTTAGGGTCCCGGCTGCGCACCACTTGCATGTTCTCCCGAATCAGGCCGTGTTTGGAATTGATTCTAGAGTTGGCCACGGCTCGGGGGTCCCGGACCAAGTGGATGACTTTCAGATTGAGAGCGGGGTCTTCCATTAAGGGAGCCAGGACGTTCATGTCAAAAATGCGCACTCCCTTGATCACGACAGTGTTATATTTTAGGCACTCCTGCTCTAGAAGGTGGATTTTTTGAGAGGGGCACTTCCTGCAAACGTTTTCATCCACCATACCCACCACGTCTTTTCTGTAGGACGAGCAGAAAGGCTGGGAGCAGATGACTTTGTTATAGGTGGAACCAAAGATACCTAGGGTGCTGACATTTTTGCCCGGGGGGTTGGTGTACAGCCGGAAGACGGAGAAATCACACCTGTAGAGGGCGTTGAGCATGTCTCTGGCCGCCCCTTGGAGAGAAATGGCATCTCCAGGGTAGAGCTTTTGCCAAATGTGCCACATGGGCTCGTACAAGAAGAACACGTCCGGGTTTTGGTTGAACAGCTCGCCGAAAAAGGACGACCCGGACCGCCAGGTGGTCAGCACGTATACGAGCTGCCTGGTCCTCGGTGGTGGCTCCTTGAAGAGGAACTGGATGTCCGGTCTGCTTTGGACCCTGGGACTCTGCGCTTGGTGGTTGCACTGCTGCGGCTCTTTGGTCCACCTGTAGTTGGCCAGGTTCAGCATGGTCAGAGCGAAAAGCAGAAAGTAGGCGAGGAAGACGAAGATCTTCTTGCGACGTAGCACCTTCATCACGATACCGGGGTTGGCGATTATCTTGGTGGGCTTTCGTGCGAATATTCGGTGTCTCCTCCCAAAACCCACATCCTTCTCCCAAGGCGGTGTGAACTTAAGCTGGTACGGCTTGCTTTTCATTTAGCCAGCAGCGTTCAGATGATGCTCCAACAGCACTAAGCCCTGTTAGCTCCAACAGCACTAGCAGGACCAGAGCAAGGGGTTGTCACAGCATCCTAACAGATCCATCCACTACTCAGGCCTGGCCTTCAGGGTGAGAGGGAGCCCCCCACAAAAAAGACCCTTCCAAAAACAGCCCAGGCAAGGCAAAAAAACTGCACTACAGTCCTCAAAAGCTCCCACCAGCAGGATTTAGGCTGCGTGTAGTGCTGCTCATAAAGCCTGGCTGAGAAGGAGAGCTCACCGCTCAGCGCGCCACAGTTCACAGCATCACCGCGGCGACGGCCGAGAGCAAAACACAACACCGTCCGCGCTGAAACGACCAGCCGGCTCCAAAAATCCCTCCCGTCGAAAAAAGACGGACAAAAAACAGAAGAGCTGGAAAGCAGGAGATGAAAGCAGGAGCTCCTCTCCGGCTCCGTTACTCCGGCCGTTCAGCTCAGAGTCTGTGAGGATTCAATCAGAGCACCCAGACACAAAAAGCCCACAGGCCCCGCCTCCTCTGAGCGCCGATTGGCGGAATCAGCGACCCCGAGCGATCCGATTGGTTCGGACCGCCTCCATCAAAGACCCTCCGGTATTTCGCAGCGTGAACGGAGGAAACGTCATATTCGCCGCGCGCTGTGTGGCTCTGATGTGGGAGGAGCAGCGATGCTTACGAGCTGCATATCATTGAAATAGTTATAAAATAATGAAATGAATAAAAATAAACAAATAAAAAGTGTGGTTGAGCGTGAATGAATGAATAGATAGACAGATGGATAGAAAATCATGGGGGACTTTTAACAAAGCAGGATTCCTCAGTCAGCCTGATAAACTTTGGGCTTCAGTTATCCAGCCTACAGAGAAGCCCTGCTTTGTGAAACACCACCAGGATTTTGTTAATCAATAAAAAAAGGAAAATAAATGTAGAATTTAATTTAAAAATGTAGAATTTAATTAACAAACAAATAATTGAATAAATAAGTAAGATGCAGTTATTACATAAATAAATACAGTAGACAGAACCTTCAGATCTCACTCTTTTATTTATGCTTGTTTTGTGAACAGTTTTAAGTGATATTCATATATACCAATTGGATGAAATAAATATTATTAATAATTATTACAAATAATTATTATTAATACACTAATTGATCGATATTCTAGTAATATTTTATATAATTAAAAATACTTTAAAAATTAAATGTATTTTGTGTAATAATAATAAATATAATGATACTTATTGTTATTATTATTATTATTATTATTATTATTATTATTATTCCTAAACCACAGTAATTGGGGCATTCCAACACTCTTAAAAAAGGATGGTTCTTCAAGGGTTCTTTAGTAAAGACAGTGGTTCTATATAGAACCGTGAACACTCAAAGAACCATTTACATGCGTAAATAATGCTTTGCATGGTGAAATGGTTCTTCAGATTGATGGAGAATATGTTGTATAAGGTTCTAGGGAGCACCAATAAGGGTTCTTCCATTGTCAAACGAACTCAGTGTCAAGCTTGTAACAATAGCAGAACATTTTCTGGTGCTGTATGGAAACATTTTCAAAAAGGCTCCATATAGAACCATCTACAAGACATTCTCCATCAATCTGAAGAACCATTTCACCAGACAAAGAACCTGGCTCTATTTAGAACCACCATCTACTAAAGAACCCCTGAAGAAACACTTTTTAAGAGTGAATGTAAGATGTAAACATTAGAACTAGTAGCCCTTGAATACAGATGACTAAATGTTTTCTGTTTTAATTACAGCCGTATGTTTTGTTATGTGTTTTCTTGATTTATTGATTGATTGATTGATTGATGATTGATTTTCTGAGCGTAAGTAAGCGAACACGTCCTCCACCCAGAACACACTTATATAAGACATTTGCTTTTAGAAACATTTTGTGTTTGTTTTTTGGGGAAAAAACCATGAAATGTGTCTTTGTACAGGGCAGATTTTATGTTTTATTCATTAAATTCAGCTAAATAAAGCGTAACTGTGCATTAAACTGTGCAGTAGTGTGTTCACAGTAGAGGATGTGTTCATTTATTTACACTCAGAAAATCACCAGAACATACTTTGACTGGAGGTGTTCAGACTTTTGCATACGACTGTATTATTGACCGCTGGGATGTTGTTGTTGACTAAGACGCAGTTCAGCTTGGACGAAATCTCAGTTCAGTTCATTTACATAAATCTTCAAAACTTACATAAAACAATATGATGTAGACATAATAGGATATCGTGTTTCAGTGAGGCAAAACAAACAAACACACAGCACAACACAAACAGTGTGGCTGAAATGAAAGCGATGCTCTGTATGAATGATGGACGAATTAAATATGAACACTGTGAGTTAAGACTGTAAACGTTTGTGAGTGTCGAGTTCTCTGTGATTGTATTGACCGTTAGTCAGGCTGAAGTTCTGAATGCCTGTTCTGTATAGCAGGGAGTGCAGTATGAAGCAGTGTGGGTTTATGTTCAGTGTATAAATGATAAACAGGAGCACGTACGTTAGGTGGGCACCAGAAAGCTGTAAATAAATGAAGGAATGTTAAATATCTGCATCCAGAATGATGAACAGAGCTGTAGAAGATTCTAAGACTGAGAAAGCTGTAAACACTGAGAGTTCAGTTACAATAGAATTATAAAATGAATATCCAGAATTGGTCATATTTTACCTATCAGAGCAGATAACGTGACAAAAAACGTAATGTGCATAGACAAATATAAAAATATATATATTTAAAAGGGATGAATATATATATATATATATATATATATATATATAGATAGATAGATAGATAGATAGATAACAATATTTATAATTTTTTATTCAAAATACAAAACACATTTGTATTTTCACAATAGTAAAAAAGGTTTACTCAAAATATTCAAAATACAACTAAAACTACAAAAAAACTAAAATATTATATATAAATATTATAATATTATAATATATAAATATTATGATCAAACAATTACAGTATATTCATTTATCATTTTATTATCACATCATTCCTTGTCCTTGTTCACAGAAATCTCATAATATTGAAAACTACATAAATCATTGCATATATATATATATATATAGATTGATAGATAGATAGATAGATAGATATAACAAGAAAACAATCTGACAACTTTTTGACTATATATATATATATATATATATATGTGTGTGTGTGTGTGCGTGTGTGTGCGCGCACGCGTGTGTGTGTGTGTGTGTGTATGTGTGTGTGTATGTGTGTGTGTTTGTGTGTGCGTGTGTGTGCGTGTGTGTGTGTGTGTGTGTGCGCGCGTGTGTGTGCGTGTGTGTGTGTAAAACAATTTTGTAATTTCAAAATAATACAAATGTTTACTCAGAATATTCAGAATAGAACTGAATCAACTACAAAAACCAAGTGAAGTCAATATTTCAGACAGTGGTTCTGTAAGGAGCCTTTTGTTGCAAGCTTGACATGATCACAGTAGAATCCTTTATGGTGCTGTATAGAACCATATACAGCACATTCTCCACTAATCTGAAGAACCATTTCACCATGCGAAGAACCATTAAAGCATGCCAGTGGTTGTTTGAGTGTTCGTGGTTCTGTGTGGCTTTATCTGAATGAGCTCTTGCTCAGACATGAAAGACTAACTCAGGTTACAGCAGAAGCGTCAACATGGATTATCTTGTAATACTGACTGTATTACAGAGTGACTCACTGTGCGGTTGGATTAGTTCAGCAATGGGCCTTTTGTTCCATTCCAGCACTGCAGTGATGTGTGAGAGTGCGTTAGCTTATCCATCAGCGCCACCTTCTGTCCATCCTAAACTCCTGCACCCTCCTCACAATCACATCTACAGCTTAAGACTCCTGTGTTAGTAGGATCTCCTTATGAGTGCTTCCTTGCTCCACCTGTACGCAACACTAACGAGGAATTCCATCAACAGCTTCTGCATAATTCAGCGGTTGAGATGTAAACAGTGGTTTGAGGTGAAATGGTTCATTATAGAGACTCAGATTTCTTTACATTGGTGGTGATACGAACCAGGGGTCGCCATGACTACAAGACATATATAGCCATTTTATTTACTATCCAAAACCACCAGTGAACCTACACGTGTCTTCTGAGTTTATATGTAATGTTGATGATGGTGAAATGTTACCCCTCTGCTCTAAAAGGCTTAAAAACTGCATATTCATAACCAATTCATGTAGTAACTTTCTGTGAGGGAGCTTTTAGAGGTGGACGTCTGGTTCCTATCACCACCACTGTGAACAAGTCCGACTTTCTAGGACATGGCCAGTCACAACAAACCACTTTATATCTTGTTTTACAATCGTTTTAGATACGATTCAGGCCTACAGTGTATTATTATTCATGCTTTCATGGTGGAGGGGTACATGAAGGGTGTTCTAAGGCAAAATAGTCCCAAAGAAAACTTCTATTTGCAGATTTGTCACTATTTTACCATCATCAACATGACATACAAAGCTTGCATCGGTTCGCTGGTGGTTTTGGATAGGAAATTAAAAGGCTATATTTGTTCCTATTACCACCACTGTGAAGAAATCTGAGTCTCTACAATAAACTGTGTTGCGCTGGTGCGAGTGGATCAGACAAAGCAGTGCTGCTGGAGTTTTTAAACACATTGCGTCCCCTCACCATCCACTCTATTAGACACTCCTACATTGTTGGTCCACCTTGTAGATGTAAAGTCAGAGATGATAGCTCATCTGCTGCACAGTTTGTGTTGGTCATCCTCTAGTCCTTCATCAGTGGTCACAGGACGCTGTTTTTGGTTCTCAGTCCAGCAGCGACACTGAGGAGTTTAAAAACTCCAGCAGCACTGCTGTGTCTGATCCACTCAGACCAGCACAACACACACTAACACACCACCACCATGTCAGTGTTACTGCAGTGCTGAGAATGATCCACCACCCAAATAGTACCTGCTCTGTGGGGGTCCTGTGGGGGTCCTGACCACTGAAGAACAGGGTAACAAAGTATGCAGAGAAACAGATGGACCACAGTCTGTAACTGTAGAACTACAAAGTGCTCCTATGTGGTCAGTGGAGCTGATAAAATGGACAATGAGTGTGTACAGTGTATATTCACCCGTGAATAAGAAATTAACTGATTTTTTAAAGGATAAACGTGATCATGCTCACACGCGTGAGGAAAGTGTTTACAGGAGAAAGACCTGATTCATATCCAAAGGAGGATTATGGTCATAGCTGGTCCATTTTAGCTCTGCATGAGGCTGGAAAGAAGCCATGTACCAAAGTTTGAGCTGCTCACACTGCTGACCACTCAGCTTTGGGACACGAGTATTGTATGGATAGATGAGACAGTACTGGGCAGACTGTTACAGTCTCTGCTTTCTTCCTTTCTCAGATTCTTTTTAGGCTCCTCGGCCTCCGTGGAGAGCTGGGAGAAGACCGAGAATGC